ATATATACCCCCTGGCTGAAGCCCTTCTAGTGATCCGGGTTTGGACCCGGTCTGACTTACTCTGGGCACTGGGTGATGATGACTGTTGGCATCAGAGATCGAGGACTCGGCTCACTGGGCGCTTCGATCTCATTGGACAGCCTGTAACTACAATTAGACACCAGCCGCTGAAACTAAGCTGAATATTTCAAACAGATGTGACATGCAACAGGTTGTCTTCTAATAGTGACAATGTCAGTAATTGTAGGTGTATTGCGTACCTTTGCTCCTCTGTCAGGGTGGGTACGCTGTGATACCACTGTAAGAAGGTTTCATCAGCGACAAAGACGCAGTTTTTGCAGGAAGACTGCAGGAGCCGGATTTGAGCTAAAACCTCAAATTCCTGTTAACAAAGAGCTCTGTCACCACAATGTTTCACAAATAAAAAAACAGTCACGTCAGTTGATGCAGAATTACTCCAGCTGCTTCTTAATTTCTTCCTCTGATTCCCTTCTCGCAGACTCGTTTTTGACTTTTACTCATATTTGTAGAGGAGAAAAGTTTACTTTCTATATTGCATCACTCACCCTTCTCCTTTTGTCAAAGTTGATGTAGCCATTCTGCAAATGCAGTAAAGGGTATTTTAGGCCAGTTTGCGTGCAGTTACATGGATAGCAGGACGACACAGAGAGATCTACTTACATCCAGCCTGTCTTTGACTGCTGCGTCCAACATGGTGAGGTCTGTGAGGAAGATTCCCAGGTAGGGCACGGTGCCCTGAGCGTTGGACTGGGTTAGGAAAAGAAGACAGATATTTTTTTATTAGCTCCAAAGAGGTTTTTATTCGCAGCCCAAAGAGCAAAACCGACGGATGAATTTCAGAGCAGCCGCCTGCAGCTGTTTTCACACAGCGGCTCACATCAGCTGAACACACAGAAGAGACAAGACGCCTCACTGTGTCACTACAAACCGCTAATCTATCCACGTTTAACCAAAGAGACATCCCTCTGAATGCATCAGGAAGAATTAATACTGTGACTCTGAGAAGTAGATTCTGCTCCCAGCTCTGGAAACTGTGAAAGTATTTCTCCACCGTGACTTTTCCACACACTGGAAAAACGACCGAGAAATAAGTAAAAAGTTCTTAAATTAAGTGTATTTAACCTTAATTTGAGTAGGTAAATGAGATCATTTATCAATGGAATTACATTTTTACTCTTAAAATTAGATATTTAGATAAAAGGCACTTGAAATAAGTCAATGCAATTGTGTTTTCTTATTTTAAGTGTAAATAGTCTTGTTCCATTGGCAAATGTCTCTTTTACCTCCTCAATTCAAGAACAAATTCACTTATTTTAAGAAAAAATGACTTATCTAGATTTTGATTTTTTCCAGTGCACACTGCAAAAACAATCCAGAAATAAGTAAAAAATGGCTTAAATTAAGTATATTTAGCCTTAATTTGAGCAGGTAAATAATATGATTTGCCAATGGAATGAGTATTTTCACTCTTAAAATAAGATAGTTAGATAACTTAAAACAAGAGG